TAAGTGCTGTTCATCGTACTATGAATCGTACCTACGAGACCTTAGTTTTGTTTACAATGATGTTGGTGAGTTTCCCTGGCAAAAATTGTGGCCAAAATTTAAATGCGAAGATATAAATATTCCCACCGTTAACATAGATTGTTAGAACTTCAACTGTTATGCAGTAATTCAGCAACAAACGCATTAATAAGGTTGCATTAAAGTTGTAGAATATTATGAAGGCCCACATCATTATTATTATTATTTACTTTCTTTTTAAATGACTATAATTCCACTATAGGTCAAAATAAAATATGAAAATATTTGTAGGTTATAGAATAATGTGATAACTTTGACACCTTTGCGCTTTCTTCTGTTACCAATACTTACCTGGTCAATACAAAGTCACTGTAAAATTTTACGACACATTACGTTAATTTTCTAAATATATTCTCCAATATATTTAAAGCTTAAAATAATTTTATCAACAAACAAAATACGAGCTTTACACTGGCAGCCATTTTGGTTGAATGTTCGCCGCGCATGCGTAGACACAGTTTACCCTCGTTGAGAGGGATGATTGTATCATCTTCTCTTTCCAACACAGAAGAACTGAATATTGTGTTGTCTCTTTCGTGCGCATTTCATTGTTAACCTCTATTCAATAGCCCGAAGGGTCGACTTTCTAATACTGGGGAGTTCAGTAAACTGAAGTTAGCAGCAAATCGTTAAGTTGATTAAAGTTTAAAAATGTCTTAAATTTGTAAAAAATAACGATAAAACGATTGAAGGATGATCTAGTTGGTGCTAAATGACTTTTTTAAATTTATGGCATATGGATAGTCTTCTGGCCTTTACTCCACCATGGAACCTGGAGGCGAGAGCCCTAGCGGCTCTTCATCAGTAGCGCAAGGAGGCGCCTGAGTTGGGTCGCCTAAGCCTCGAGAAATCAATCAAGGCTCAGAAAATCACAATTCCACCAGGTCCTCGTACAGGAGTGTAAGGAACGACTTTGGGAAACCAAGCGCTGGGCATGCGGAAAGATGGGTTTTGGAGGATTGGCATTACGGGACCCTCTCGTACCGGCTGACGCAAGTAATCAATGGGAAAGGATGCTTCGCGGATCACCTGATGCGCAAGGAGCCTACGCCTGAGTGTCACCACTAAGGTGGCCGGACCGTGGACATGACGCTCCACACGCTGGCAAAATGGCTGTCGTAGTGGGCATTGCGGTAGCGCGGGGCCCGTTCCTTCCGGCTGACGAAGGTTCTACCTAGGAAGTACCTGCACTCGGTCGCTAGGAGGGAATTGACTGCCTATCACCACTGCGATTACAGTAAGGACTCGGCTTAGCACACGCTGGCAATTTGCCCGGCTTGGGCGCCACACCGCCGGGTCCTTATTGCAGCCATCGGGGGAGATCTCTCGCTACCGGCCGACATACGCTCCAAGGCCGGTTGTGACAGATGTTTCACAGCGTTAAAATTAAAGTTATAATTTAATTTTGTATTTCCACTTAAGTAATAAGGGGCAAGCCTATTGCTGTCTACCGGTCACATATATTCTTAATTATTATTATTTTATGTCAGATAGGGCAGACGAGCAGACGGGTCACCTGATGGAAAGTGACCATCGCCGCCCATGAACGTCTGCAACTCAGGAGTCATAAACGCGTTGCCGGCCTTATAGAAAGGAGTACGCTCTTTTCTCTTATCTTTTATACTTAATATTTCTAAATACATACATATTGTAGATAAATTACACAAAGATACAGAATAAAATGATCGAGCATCACACAATATTTTATCCTGGGTGGGAATCGAACACACGACTTAGTATTTAGAAGTCAGGGTAGCTAACCACTAGACCAACAGGTCCATCAGGGTACATCAATACCTAAATTATAAAACCTATATTTCTGTTTTATAATTTAAATAGAAAAAACCAGTAAACCCCATGCTTAGAACTCTGTTGTTTTGTTTTTCGTTATACACAAAAAAACAGTGTTCATTTTAATATATCGAAAGAGGTCAACACAGGTAGCTAAACTAAATAGGATTACTTGGCACTTTTTTTAAATCTCTTTAAATCCAATAACCAGTCAAAACATGTCAAAATTGCCGACAACATTTGCTCATACAATTAGTCCCTAGAGAATTCACTGTAAACTCACCGGTCCCTTTAAACTGGCTGAAAGGGTTCTTCTCATTGTCAAAGATTAACCCATTGTTGTTTTTGCCCATTTTTAAGTAGATCTTCTGTTTTATATTGTTTTCATTTTTTTATTGCAAGTTAGGTTATAAGTTATTAAAACCTTAAGCAGTTCGGCTCAGTGTTACTCAGTTACACAAATTTTGTTTAAATGATTAAACTAGGTTAATATTAAAAGAACATTCAAAAGATATTGCAATTGTAACAACAATATTGCGGTTCGAACTTCACCCAGAAGGCCATTTCTCGTAATAACAGTTCGGTCTCAATTCAGTTCCGATCAACTCCCGATCTCACAACTGACATGAAATGTATTTTCGTAGTAAAATAGTAAAGTATTACTAAGACTAGCAGATCACCGATTCAATTTTCAGTTACAATACGATATAATCACATCACAGTCAACGTTGGATGTTTAATATTTTACTATGAAAATACTATTTATTGATCGGAATGCATGCAATCTCAATGCATAAGACCGAACTTTTATTACGAGAATTGGTCTTTAAGTACGCTCGATTAAGTAAGTTCGATCACGGCTGTAGTTTACTCACAAAATTAAAAAGTTATGTAATTTTTAAATTATACTGATATCTAAATAAAAAATAAATATTTAGGTTTATTATATTACGTAACCTCCTTTCTAAGGAGAGGCTTATGCCCAGCAGTGGATTATTAAAGGCTGTTGATGATGATGATGATGATGATATTACGTATTTATAGTGAGTGGTTGCGAGTTCGAACCTTGTGTATAGCTTACCTGGAGCGCTAATAATGTGTAACCTATTGACATTCGTTTTTTTTTAAAGTTAACATTGTTTTTTTGCCAAAAATTTAATATTTAAAGGTACGGATCAATGATAAAGTGTTAATTTTAAAGGGTAGGACAAATAATTATGTGATGTTTACGATAATTTGTTCTGTGTCTGGGTATAATAACCTATCTACAATAACAATGTAGGTATTTAAAAATATATATGTACCTAACTATGTTAATCAGGAGCCTGGTTACTATAGAAAAAGTTCTGTCTAGTTTAGGATCAGACTTCCGTAAATGAGTTGTTGTACATCTGACGTAATATACAAAAAAAAAACATTTTTAGTCAACAGATTGCAGTGTCTTAAGTATTAAATAGTATTCATAAAGAAAGACTGCACAAGATAAAGCGGTCATCCCACATAGGACATCGCTTTGTGTGATCCCCAAATAGTTGTCCTGAGTCTGGGTGTTCTTTATGTCCGTTTCATGTATGTTTGTAAAGTCCTCCGCGACACAGGATTATATTCCTAATGCGGGAGTTGTCTTTCAAAAACAATCAATAGCAATATTGTAATTTATTAGATTGTTTAAATTTTTGCTGATATGCTACCGGTATTATAACTCATTTTTTTGTTACAAATACATTAAAAAAACCTTTACTACCATTCCATTTACCTATTCCTGTCAAAACTTTGTTTATAACTTTATTCCTTCGTACAAGTTATTTATTGAAAAAAGGACTTTACCTGTTACACAAAGATGTTCTTCATACAATGATATTATTAGGGCAATGATACAATAAAAATACAAATTTATAATAATCAGGAATCATAACTCCTCTTTATTTATTAGCGCCTTTGTGACTAGGGAAGTACAAAAATATTTTTTTAATAAATAATCAATCTTAATATTTTACAACATAATTAATAATTACGTATCTATAGGAACTATTTGCTTACGTCTAATGTGTATTTACATCATAATATTTGTATTGATTTCACCTTAAATTGGCATTTAAGTGGAACGGTATAATTAATCAGAAAAAAAATGGTTTTAAGTAAAGTCGAATAGATTTTCATAGTGACAAATAAAAAATTGATAATTTTATTATTTGTAACATGATTCATTTAGAAAAAAATATAACCGACTTCAATACGCCTAAACATTGATAAATAGTAATTAACTTTCTTCCTCATTTTTTGATTTTCGCCCTTAAGGGTGCAATCTTTTTAACTTTGAATGCAACCAAGCAGAAAAACAGGAGTAAAAGGTTCATAAATGAAGCAGTCCTCAGATAAAAAAGATGTACAGTCGAATTGAGGGAGTATTCCTCTTTAGGCACCAATTTTATTTAAACCTATGGTTTCACCACTTAAGCTATTCTACTTCCAGCACTAATAAGTATATTGGCTTGTTGCTGAATTTTGAACAAAAAAAAATTAAATCTTGTTGCAATTCAGCACCTACAGCAGTTTCCAGTGATGAGATATATATTTTTGAACAAAGTTCGTAAATAAAACTTGTCTCAAAAAATGTGTAATCAATACTTATTTTATTCTACATCCAATCACTAGAAACTACCGCACGGCAGGTGCTGAATGAGGAACAACATTTTATATATTTTTTGTTGGTGTTCAGACAAGCTAATTTACCTATTGGTGCTGTAAGTGGAACAGCTTAGGTGCTAAAACTAGAGGTGCTGAAAAAATTGCTGCCGAATGAGGAATACTCCGGATTGAGAAGCTCCTCCTTTTTTGAAGTCAGTTCTAAATATACCTATACCAAGAAGTTTAAACAGCTGCGATTTTATAATTTACTGCCTAAGAATTAAAAACTACTTGCATAGGTATAAATATCAACGAATAACTACAAGTAAGTAATGTAGCTAAAAAGAATAACTTTTGTTGGATATACCTATCTGTCTAGTATAACATTCACCCGTTTGTGTAATGATGCATTGCAACTAAATACAAATCACTTAAACTTTTTTTTGCAAATCAAATAAATATTTTATCAGATTATTAAGTGGCAATAATGTTTTAAGATCAACTTAAACTCCATCATACGAAGGCATCACAAAATTTTGTGCGATATTTGCTGGAATATGGGAGGTGTTAGTCGGTGCACCAGCCATGTGATAATTGGGATATTCACCGATGGCTGGCATAAGTTGCCGTGTGTCTATATATTCAGGCATGGTACTTAACTTTGTGGCACTCATGTCATCGATACCATATGGATCAGGTGATGTTGTCAGTTTTCCATCTTTCTTCGCTTTCATCCTTCTGTTTTGAAACCATATTTTGATCTGTCGTTCCGTCAATCCCAACGCATGTGATACTTCAATTCTTCGTCTTCGAGATAAATACTTATTGAAATGAAACTCTTTTTCCAACTCAAGGGTTTGAAATCTAGTGTAAGTCTGTCTTGTCCGTTTTGATCCGTCTTTTTTATCATCGCCTGTAATAAACAAAACAATGTATTGGTTAATTATGAATACACAATTAGAATAGATACCTACTCACAGATAAAATAATGATAAACTATTAAAACATTACTTTCTCAACTTACCATTGACACTCTTCATCCACGGATAGAATCCTTGTGCATCCTGCGCCGCGGCCATTTTGTTTTCGGTATAATCCGTATTGTCCCCGCCTGCCTCAACCCTCGTCACATCCTGACAGGCTTCCGCGGATTCCTGCGATGACGGTGCATCGTCCGCGGCTCCACCCACAGCATCTTTCTTGATTGACGTTTGACTTCCTACGGTTCCATATCCACCATGAAATTGCGACAAATTGCATTCCTTTTCGGTGATCACATTATTTTTTTTCCAATCATGTACTTCTTCCGAAGTAAACATTACACTTTGCAATATATCTTGTGTATACGCTTTGTCACATTTGCCATAGTAAGGTGACGATTTTTTAGACCCAGTCTTAGAAAGTAATGCCCTTAAATTTGGTGAATCTTCTACCTCCGGTGTAGGTGGTTGGACATTACTAGTTGCGCTTTGCGGAGATCCATACCTAGTATCAGGAGGACTACATAGACTGGGTGATTTTATCATCCCAGCTTCATTAAGGTTTTTAGGTTCAAAGTTATTACTAACTTGATTTACTTGATTACTTCTTTGTTCATAGCCGTAGTTTTTCTGCTGCTGCTGTGCATAATAATTCATTTCTCTCCACCTATTGATCATTTCCATATTGGATTGGGGTACATTAAAGTAGTCAGTATGATAGCCCTGCCATGTACTAGGTTCCATTTTCACTATGCCCTCACTCTGATCCTGTCCGTACATTTTATCGTAACCAGCACTTATTGTGTTTGAGTAATTGAAGTTCTGAGAATAATAATTATTTTGATGATTGTAGTATTCAGGAGCCATTGTTGAGAATTGCTTATATGCGTTTTGTTTGGGATGTAGTGCACTTTGAGCGTTCACATCTGTATTATTGTTCCACATTTCACTAGCATGGTTAGTAGTAGCCGCTAAGGACATAATGTTATTTTAACTTTATCACTTTCACTAATTTCACAAACACAAAATCAACTGCGTAGGAGACGATAGTCCGTCTCCTATGTGGACTGCGAAACGAATGTTGTAAGTGCATACAGACGGCACGACCCTAACAATTGTAATACTTTTATATGACCTAAAAAAACTTTGGGGTACTTTCAACAATAGCGTTACTATTGTCCCTCTTCGAAGTTGTAAAACTGGGTACGTTATCTCGCTCTTTCAATGTTTCTCAGCTGTGAAAGAGTGAGAAAGATGTAGTCGGTCCGATTGGCAGAACATTTTGCAAATACCCCGTAAATGTTTACAAAGCCAATATTTCCAATCATATGTGCATGTGTGTGAGTGTAGGCATTGGTAAGTCATTGATTGCTCTGTTCCAGTATGCGTGTGAGAGGGTAGCATGGATTGATTTTATTCTATTATTGGTTTAGTGTAAAGCCGCGTATGTGTGTCACTGTGCTGCATTTGCAATTGCATTGTATAAAGGATGTTTGATTAATTTTCAGTGACCATTATGATCTTGTAACAAGTAATGTAATTCCAACTTCAAATTTTAATAATACTTCTATTGATAACTTCCTTCAATTAATGTTTTTTAATTAAATATATTTACCCGATTGTTATAAAAACTGTTCGTTTAATTCGAATTTAAAATAGTGTAGTTATAAAAATAATATCTTTACATAAATCTATTTTTACTTAAACAGTACCTATTACAACTAACGACTTCGTATATTATTTTATTAGGTATTTATTCTTTGAATGGGTTCTGGTACATAATATGTAAGGTTAGCTTAAATTTATTGTCCCTTTGAAAAGTTACATGTTTATAATAAAGTCTTGTGTTAATATATCAATAAACGTATTTAACTTTTAAAATACCTTGGTTTTCTAGAGACGTCACTTTGATTTCCACAATTTTTATGTAGTCAGTGGTTCATTTATCTGTATACTTCAAAAAAAACACGGGCTTTGTTTATTTTTAACCAACTTAAAAAAGGTGGTTACTAGTTAGTAATTTCTCGTGCGTATGCTTTCTCAAACAGAAAATGTGAATGATTCATATGGCTACCGAAACCACTCAATAATGTAATTAGTGTCACACGGGTAACGATTCGTATAGGTACCTACTTTAATGTAGTCAGCAGCCAATTCATGCATTAAGCCGACTTGAAAGAAGGCAAACGTTCATAGTTTGACGACTTTTTATAACAACAGATCTAGTTGTTAAGTGAGGCAAACAGATCCAATATTTTGGAATGAATAATATAGCTTGAACATTTTATCCGGTGAGATCCTTGACGGTTTAATGATAAAATCTTACGAAATGAAATAATAAACATTACAAATTTCTACAGCCTGTGTAAGAGAACTCTGGCGAAAGAAACATAACTCATAGCGACGTGTAACAGTTCAATCGGGGGTCGCGACAATGGCGCAGCATGCGTGCGCGTGCGACGCTACACGGGCCACGGCACGACTTGCGACTTTCATGTCGTTGCTGTTAGAATTTATGTTAATAATTATTTCAAATAGGTTAACTTTAGCATAACAAATAAGATTTAATATTATGACTTACTAATTTAATGTCTCATTAAGGTTTACTATTTTTTAATCTTTGTCTTTATTTGCCACTAAGTAGGAAAATTTAGAAGGTGAAAGAACACAACTAATTTCTGCTTAAATTGGAGCTGACTTAGAATAATATGTACATAATACAATACCTTTACCTGCAGGTAAAATATTGAACCAATAAGTCTTAGATTAATGTGTATTTATAATTTTTAAGAGAATAAGTTTTAAGGATTATAATCCTACTATCAAAGATTTAATATCTACCATATCTTCATACTTAACCAGAAAACTAAAGTCTACTTACTTTTGCCCGCGGTATTGCGGTATGTAGGAAACGAAGCGGCTAAAGCTACACGGTATGCCGTCAGTACCGTTGTAAGTGGGTCTATAATCGGGGTATGCATTTAGAAGAAGGCCTTTCAGAACAACTGAAAATTTTATAATGGGGGGGATGAACAAAACTGGAGGACGGATTTTTCTGTTAAAATAAAAAATGACATTTAATGACTACCCAGCAGTATAAATACTCTGATTTCAGATGGTGTTTTGAGATTAATTCTTTTGAATTATACCCTAAAATTAATTTTCTTACATTTTAAATATGTGGTATTTAAAAACATATCAAGATAAGATGGCAGTATCCAGTAATAATAATGTCCACATGTGTACATATGTACGTACCTAAATACAAATACCTACTGTATAATTGCAGTATCATGCCACGTTTGCGTTATTCATCGCCCAATAGTACGCGGCACACCCTACACTGCGACATATGCAACCTTTGTCACGGACTCGCAGTACACACCTCCCGACACAGTGGACGAACATCTGTTACACGCGCACACCCACCAACCACGTCTATTGTGTGCTATGCCTTACATATTTGGCGGGATTTTCAATCGAAATTTCAGATTTTAAATTTAGAATATATTCGTTTTTTTTAATGATTTAGTATTCTTCTCTTTTTTTCAAAAATATTTACAAAGTAATATATACAAAACCATGTAGGAGATCCAAAAACCTAGATATTTAAAAGGCTAGCGTAACGGAAATATAACTGATCCTAATTTAAACTCACCGTAAAGTTTTATTTTAGTTTTTAATAAATTTTGCACAGTAACAGGTATTTCGTCAGTTAGTAGAAATCTATAATAAATGAACAATTTCAACAATGAAAAAAATGAAGCATATTTATAATGCATTAAAGCAATCACTCATACTAAGCTACTACATGAGTTCATAAATCATGCAACATTAAGTTCAACCCATTACTTTTTAATGTGATTGAATACTTAAATGGTAGCAAATAACACTATTGGTTTTTAAAACCAAACAAATAAATATTTAATCATTAGATTAACCGTAAAGCTAGTCTTCCACTTTGTGTAGACGTTGCTTTTAAATTATAAAAAAAAACTTTTATTTCAATTTCACACTGAATTCCAATATCAATTTCTATCGAACCCCAAATTTAGTGTACTTAAAAGTATAAGTTTAATAAAGATTTAAAACTCAAATATTATTTGCATTATTTTGGTATGTGTGAGCCTATAAATAAAGTTCACTTTTGCTATGTTCGTAATATAAAACACTGAATACCATTCATGACAGTGTTGGCTCGAAAAGATTTCAAAAATACAATTTATTAGATCTTACGTTTATGAAAATAAAACACATTTTGGTTGCGCAAATTTGGCCAACCTTCTCGTCATACTGTGGCGCTGACAATGTGCAACCATTAATCTTGCAAAATCAATCGATGGCTTATTCAGAATATTGTATTTGGTTTTGCCGCGGGGCTTTTGGTTGATATTTACTTTGGATCTTTTTCTCTAATTTATGGTACATCCGAAAAAAATGACATCTGGCGTTTTGGTGATATTTGTACAATATCGATAAAAATACAAAAAGAGGCTCAGAACATACCTGAAAGTGAATATCCCAGTGCGATGAAGCCACGTGTGTTGTATATTGACAAATATTTTCGATATTATTAGCAAATACTGTCATTACGAAACATACTTCCATACAAAACAGGTGCTATTTTCGTTTGATCAAGCTCGAAAATGGCAACAGACTGTTAAGTCAAAGCTAATCCTTTTATTAAACGAGAAAACGATGACGTTAATGTAAAAACTGGTATGAAATACTAAGTTATGACGTCATATTCCTCTATATTCGAATAGTTTTTTAGATCTGTAAAATATTTTGAGAAGGTCGTTAGTGTAATAGAGTAGCAGTTAATTTATTTTAATCTGAGTTTACTACCTAATTCGTTTTTTTAATTTATATTTACTTTTTGTTGTACCGTATTTTTACATTAATTTTGACTTAGTTTTATAAATACATAAATATAATTACAATTTTGTGCGAATTAATGTACTTAATAATTACAGTACACACAATTTTTCACACGTTTTTAGTGGAATTAGTTTAATTTTTTTCCGTTTCCTCATACGTCTACCTACGCCTTAATATTAATTTTAGATGTTTAATGACCTCTGCGACAACCCTTTTGATATTTGAGAAACTAAGTATGAATCACATAGAGTACGTATTTTTTAAATCATGTTGTAGACTTACGTTTTTATTCAATCATGCGCAAGGCAGCACCATTAAAAATTACGTACCTCCAGAGCGACTAACGTAGATAATTATTTCGAAATCTCCACAAGTTGAAATATGCAGACGGTGTTACACTAACCAATCCTTTGTAAACTTGTCTTATCTTTACAGGAATCAGATGCTGCAGACGCTTCATATTTAATAGAAATACTGCAGACAAAGCAATACCAATACCTACCTAGGTAGTATATCTCTTCCATTGTTTTCTTCCTGGATATTTTAACAGCAAACAGGAGGCGGCTTCTTGAATGAATAAACATACCGTTTATTGGGGTCGTAAAACAATAAAATACTTTCTATTCATATCTCACATTCCTGTGAAGGCCCCGCGCCGCCGCCTGTTGTAAAACTGAGACTTTACCTGCTTTCATGTTTTGCGATTTTTTTTACAAGCTGTAAACATGTCGAATTTTTTTTCCATAAAAATATGGTGAGAATGTTAAAAGGCAAATGTTCACAATTCTGTAGAATTCCTTATCTTTCACGTGTGATAAAACTAATAATTTTGAACTAATTTTATTAATTTGCTTTTAACAATTACCTAATTTCAACTTGCTCATACTACCGACTTGTGTTAACTTGTAAACCACTCTAGTTTGACTACAGCTTTACAAACTAATGTGTAAACAAAGGTTAATTTAGTCTCGCTCCATGCCGACAATTGGACAATTATCTGGACATTGTCTAACACCATTGTTTTGTCAACTGGCCAACTAACAGTTAAAGTGGTAAAATTGTAGATTTATGGTCTGTATGAGAACGAAACCCTAGAATAG